TGCTCTCCCCCTGCTTGTATTGGCAGAGACAGCAGGCTGTGCAGGGGACATGGATAGGAGCATACTGCATTGCCTAGTGGGGAGAATCATGTGATGGCGCACAACAGGGAGAATCAGGTCATTAAGGGAGGGTGGTGAGTGAAGGATCGGTACATATACTGCAGCAGATTTACTAAACCCTTCACTATTCTAAATGGACACAGGAGTGATCAGTACTGGGGTTCATTCAGACTTAAGAGGTAGTAGACACCTTTTCAGTTTTTGATAGAACAAGAAGTACTCAACACATCCTTCATTGTTAGCGAATGCCAGGACTGCAGAGGAGAAGGAGCCTTAGAACTTGAGTACTGTTTAAAAAAACTGTTTTTGTTGGTGCACTGTAGTGCCCCAATGTAGCTTACTTAAACCCATGAGTGCAATTTATCAGTATTATTATTATTATTATTATTATGTGGTGTGGTGTGCTGTGCTTTTTATAAGACAAAAAAAGTGCATGCATCTTTTTGGTGCAATTTCTGTGTCCTGGGCATTAGAACGGGCTTATGTATGAATGGGCTGCACCAACACAAGCACACCACATGTAATTATGTGCTGGATTACTGCAGTGCATAGATGTGAAACACACACACAAATTACACACAAGCATACCACACACATGCTGTATGCAGTATTCACATTGTAGTAATGCACATTTTGTGTGTTGGTTTGCTGTGTGCTAGACAGTAAGTGCCAATTCACACTAGTGGGCCCACATTATGATGCACATAATGTGCATGCATTGGTGTGCATTGTGCCGTGAGCTGTATTGCACTGTTATAGCGTATCAATGTTCTTGACTTTTTTCTTGTTTTTTAAATTTGTGTACATTCATTCCACTTTGTGTGCAGCAGCCCAGTGTGACACATTGCCATATTGCGACAAATGTATGCATGCACCACACACCAGCGCCGGTAATGTGGATTGGGCACTACCACAATGCCTAGGTGTGAATCCAACCTCCAGATTTTTTGTGTACATTGCCTTTTTACAGTTTTCCCTACCTTTGATTGCATAAATGGGCACAATTCTACCTTTACAAATATGTTTTATTTATTAACTGAATCCAGTTTTAGATTTAGTGGGAATTTTGTAAGTAATGCTGTATTTATATGCACTAATAATGAGTGTAGTGAATTTTTATAGAAAATATTGTTTTGAGAAACATTTGCACAACTACCGTTATCAAGGGATTTGCAAAATCAGCAGAACCATATATTTATTCTATGGGTCATGTGCTTTCAGAACATACATGGTTTGGGGGGTCTTTTATAAACAGTCTAACCTAGAAGTAAAAAATAGTAAAACATGAAAAGATTTGAAAAATAGAAGAAATCGTCTGGCCAGCTCAGGTTAAAAGTGGAGACGACCTGGCAGCGAAGGGGTTAAAACAGAGGAAAGAAAAAGGGGAAGTATTTCACAGCAACTGAACAGACTACAAGTTATACAATGAAGGAAAGCATGAGTTTTTATGTACAGCAACCTTATCGATCGATTCAACCCGAATCATATCAAAAAATGGACGTGCCCTCTGGCAGGGTTTTCACAGCACTGTTCCTTTCTCTTTTCCCCTGTTCCACAGTCCTTGGCATTATGATTAAATAAGTATCATCATTGGCCTGACATCTTCTGGGATTTAGAGTCTAGTCCCGGGATTTAGAGTCTAGTCCCTACGTGGCTTGGCAAGCAAGCTCTATTTGGTGCTACTGCATCAGCTGCTCTTATTACATGTTTCTATATAATCCCACTCATAGCCTATCTTTGAAGGCTGGCCACATATAGATTACACGTTTCATTATTAGTAATGATAGTCAAAACTGCCCTAATGTTGCAACAAATGTGTCATAGATATCCATGCCATATTTCCACTAATTTTCATGAGATTGACTAAAATTCATAGTCATGGGTTGACAAAGCAATGGGGAAACATGGACAGATCCATTTCCAGAATACAATGCAGGTGCAAATGTTACGGACATTACACATTTAGAAACTGAGACTTCAAACTATAGACTTATTAAAACTAGAGAGCCTGGTGTGTGGGGCAGGGAATTCTCCACAGTCCACTAACACTCTCTCCTCTTCTTACCTCTGCATTGTTTGTTGTAATAATTATTAGAAAATTACTTCTATTTTCTCCCTGTATAGTTACCCCATGCAGTCCTAGCCTAGCCTTCTCTTATTGAGATGTATACTTTTTACTCACTCTCGTTTCTGATTGACAACTGCTATAGCACATGCCAGGGATTGGAGCAGAGAATATACCTTGACCAACAGGATTGGACTACAGAGTGCCAATTGAAGAAAGCACTGTTTTGCTGCCTGAGACATTCAGCAGGGCATGATCTGCAATGTTTTATATTTTGCATAAAAAAGCCAATAGTGGGTGTAAATCCCTTCACAGGCTGTCACTCTTAAACATGAGCTTGCCTTGGCTAAGGCTAAATCTGGCTCCAGTAGCAGCAGTACTATGTTGCAGAATGCAGTTACTTGTGAAAATATTTCATGTACTGTACCTCTTTCGCTAAGATCTTTAAGGTAAGCTTTCATAAACTCCTTCTCAAACTGTTCACGGTCTTGATCATTCTCATCTTCATTTTCATTATTTAAGCTCTCACATGATTCAATTGGATTATCTAGAATCCTGACATACCTGAAATGAAAAATTGTAATGGGTATAAATGGTTTAAAAAGTAAGGGGTATGCAATTCAGAATGAGGTCAGTAAATTAGAACTCCTAGTCATTACAATGCTGGCACATTTGCAAATTTGTAGACAAATTACTTTCCCAGGATGCTTTTTTGTGTACTTGCCTGGAAAGCTAACAACTATAAAACTATTGTGTTCCTCTAAAAAAAAACACATCAGTGGTAATCATTGTAATATAAGGCTACATTATTACTGCATGTAATTTACTTATAGCAGCTGGATAGGGTGGCCATGCATTATAGGAACTAAGGAGCATAACAAATGCAACAAAAATAAACAGTGGCAGCACATTTCTCTATCCAAACTTAAAAAGTAAAAAAAATTATATTTACTACTTATTCTACAATTGTACAGTGTAATGTTGTATTCAGTAAGTAAGAAGATTTATCTGTCCACTAAATGCGTATCCATTTATAACTTTAATAGAATAAAAAATAAATATATCTGCATTAAATGTTTTACAGTGTTTCTCCCTTTTCCTTAGCTAGCCACATTAGTTTATTTAGAATTTAGTAGAAGCAATTGCCAAATATGTAGCAAAAAGTGTGCAAACTATATATTTGGTGAATAGAAACTGGAACTTGATGCCCTCCATGAAAACTTTTATATACCTTTGATTGAAAAAGCGAGCATAAAAATGACTAAAACAAAAATTATGTGTATGCTTGTACTTGGTTACAGAATCTTTATTAAATATTATAAATATATAAATTCAAGTAGGCATTGGAAAAAATTTAAAGACTTATACCATAAAATTATGAATTTAATTAAATAACAGGAAACCGCAAGCAGTCTTCATATTTATGAAATCAATAAATATGACACGGAACCCATGCATAAGTCAGAATTTTGCATATATACATATGCAACACGTTCACACACAAGCTGTGAGCTGGGCCGCTCTGTTATAATGTGTCTCGTTGTCTTTTGTTTCATTATGTTATTTACAACAGTGAATCTAAGAAAAAGATAATCTGTGTTCTGCCTCATCTGTCACTATGTGATTTGTTGTACACATACAAGCAACTAGAAGATATTAGGATAAAGCTTCCTGATATACATATAGTAATAGGATACAACATTTTCTATTCCCTTGTAGTCATTATTCTTCTTTGAGTCTTAATATACTGTAAGCTGACACAGATCTGAGTTGGAAGGAAATATTTCATTACTCAGGAACACATTCTTCTTAACACTACTGCCAATGAAACATGCATTTATTTCAAGATTGATTAAATATTGTGGGGTGGGCAGTTTAAGGAAATAAACCAGCCATTAATCCAGGCCTCAATTCATACTCTAACAAGATAAAATAAAACTTTAAATGGGTTTATAATGTGTTGAAATTTAATTTAATCGACTGCTTTTTGTGAAATTTGTCTATTCCATGACTGTTTAAGCATAGACAGGAGATTTTAATCTGACTGTCTAGTTACCGACATGAATTTTCGGGGAAATGAGAGTGGTATTGTGTTCAGCTCTATTTCCCCATTAGCTTGGGTTTCATCACACCTCACTATTGTCATAGGTTCTTCCACTGTTTTCATAATGTCACTTCCCTTCTACATCTGTTCTCAACTATAAGGAAGTCTAAACACTGGATGTGCAACAGGGTTTTCATGTGACTCAATGTTAACAACAAATTCAGGGTCAGACATAGCTCATGTCATTTATTTTAGCATTAACATGTAGTAATAGAGGTTTGTGAGTCAGAGATTTTACAAAAACAGTTTAAAAATGAGCTCTTTTTCCACGCACTGTTTACTCAGCATCACGATGCAGCTCAAACTAAGTTGGCTTTTTCTGAGACACTTAAGGGCCTATTTATAAATCTTCCAACCGGCCATACTCTGGGCAAATGCTGTGTGCATGGCATTCCCGTCACTAGATAGAACATAGAAAATATGTTTTCTCTCTTATTGTATGCAGGTTTGGAGATGGAATTTATTGATGCCGATTTTTTTTCTCAACATGCAAAGGTGGCAGTTCAGATCATTTAACATATCTCACAGTTTTTGCAAACTACTAACCACTGTTTGTTTGTTTAGGTTCGGTATTCTCCTTGGTTGTTTAGAGGCACATTTTTCCGTAGCTTGACCTTTCAGTATGTCCTCTGTTTGTGTGCCATGATCACAATGCTTCTGCTAGATAGCTTATCTCAACATATTCTCAAAGTGTTCACAAAGCCTGTTCACAGCTGTATCATAATGTGAAATGTCCCAATTTCTTGCTGGGTTTAAAAAATGTCTTAAACTTTGGGCCCTACAAGATGCAGAAGAAGAGGTTTATTTTGTTTAAAAACAGCCACTTCATTGGCTGTAACATAGAAACAGCCAATTGCGCCAATGTGTCAATGGAGGTTATTCACAAAGCTGCTAAAGGCAGCCGAGTGAATAACCCAGCCAAAGTGAAGTGAGCCGAACTATGTTCGGCTATTCACTCTGGCTCAGTATGGCTGATTTCAGCCGTACATCAGCTGAAATCAGTTGTACGTCAGCTGAAATCAGTCGTACTTCAGCCATACATCAGCCGTACATCGGCTCTGCATGTTCAGCTGAGCCGAAGTGCAGAAAGACTTCGACTCAGCCGATCTAACATCTGGATCGGCTGAGCCAAAGCTCTGGCAGCCCACTCGCTGCCGTTCTCCCCTATTCACATAGGAGCCGAACGGCAGTGAGTAAATAGCTGAATGCCGCCGAGCGGCATTCGGCTCTGGCTATTCTGTGCGGTACCTCCGAGCAGAATAGCCGAGGGGGGTGTGGGGCATGGTTATCCATTTGTTGCCCAGTCTGTGGGGTATGACACAGGTGGCTTGCTTTGTGCTCTAACAAGACAAAGTGCCTCAGCTGTCCCAGATCTTGTGGGTCTGTTGGACTGGCTTATTGCCACTGACCACTAATATTTTGGGTCAGAGGTAAAAATCTTGTTACTACTGACTACCAATAATTTGGGGTTGAGGAAGGATCTTATTCTTACTGACCCCCAATGCTTTCAGGGAAGGAGGGGGATCCTATTTTCACTGACCCCCGAGTGAGGGTTGAGGTATCATTTAAACTGCCAATGATTTGAAATTATTTGAAAGGGGGATCTTATTGTCACTGTTGTTTTGCAGGCATTTTTTTAACCTTTTTTGTAGCGACAGTGTTGCTTCAAGCAAACATGTAACAATATGTTCGGCTGACCTTTTATCACATTGCCAACATTGGTATTCCCAACAGGGACTTAGATAATAGTAATTTGCTAGAGGTTTTAGTCACATATTGATCTAAAACAAATCTGCTAGAGTCCCACTTTATGCTTGAACCCCAGCATCTCATGGTTTATGGCCGGAGAAGGGAGAGGTACATTACCATTTTTTTTATTTTTAAGTATGAGCATCTTTTTAATAAGGACCTTGCCCAAATTTTTTTTAGGTTTGAATAAAGTGGAGAAGGATTAGAACCCTTGACAAGGAAGGAAGTAAAGTCTCTAACAACAACACAGAAAGAAAGAAAAATCTTTTCTTTAATAGAGTAGAGGAAGGTTATAACTATCTTGTCCTGAATTTTGTTATAACTGTACTGTCTCCCAGGGCCGTAGGAAGGGCGAGGCAAGTGAGGCACTCGTCTCGGGTGCAGGCTGGGTAAGGGCGCAGCCAGGACACTGGTATGCCGCCAGTTGGGGGGGGGGGGGGCGGGGACTGGAGGCGCACC